TGTCCTTTTTGTCCTTGGGTGCAGATATAATGGTGCTCACTTTGCACAAATTCTGCACAAATTTGTGCATAATATGATCTTTATTTCTAAAATGTATTTTATGTATTGTATATAATTTTATATACACCTATTTTATATACACGTACGTACACATAGGATGCTTATAATATGTTTAAACATTTAAGTTTTTGTTTGTATTTTGCTGACTGCTTTTGTTTGTACTATGTGTATCTATTTACTTTTTTTCTGTTCTGTATAACACTATGTGAACTTCTTAGTAAGCTAACACCTATATTTACAAGCTCCTTTTATGGGGGTTTCATAACACTGGTAACTGGTAACAATGCTGCAATAAAAATGTAAACGGCATATGGGAGGCATAAACTACCGAACAGGGGGAGCATTCATATACTAACAGCCAGGGGATCGATTAATCAGTGTTCGTGTAAGAACCCTGAATGATGACCGGTCGTTGCCTTGTTTTCTCTGGAACTGTTTTTGGGCATCTCCTCAAAACTAAATTCGAATGGCGTTCCCGAACCACCGAAGGGATCTGAGTGATATTTTGGCACTTGGTGTTTTCTTGTTCCTGATTTTACTTTTGGGTGATCCAGTGGAGAGGAAGTTCCTGCTATGACTAGGGCTTCGCTACAATACTGTTTTATTTCAGTTTTCCCTCTTACTTGTGTTCCAGCCAGGGTCCAAGGTTACCTCTGCTCCAAGAAGACATGCTTATGGCTTCTGCAGAGTTGTAGAAGCTGGAGCCAATCCAGTCATCACTCATTGGCTGACGCTCTCTGAATGGCATGCATTGAAAAAATAAAAACGCTCTGTGGGGGCAGCCATCTTTAACTCCTCCTAGTCAGAAGCAACACGCACCTGCTAAGAATATCTGTCATTTAGTGGCTGATTCCGCTCCGAACATATTTTTGAGATGCCTGCCACTTTAATGCCATCTATATTTGTGAATGAGCATTGGCTTTTTGATATCTGTAGTCTTTGGTTGGATTAGAACTGCTTCTAACTGAGCAAATATATAAATATGGCTGCCCTGGGGTTTAAGGTTAAGCTAAAAAAATCCTATTATAAAGTTTTTATTTAATTAAAAATAAAATAATTCATTTAAAAAAACAACTACAGTGTGCAATAAAAGCAAATAATGTAAAAAATAAATAAATAAAAAACCCAGTTACAATGCATTGGCATGTTTTTTACAGATATAACTAAATCATTGATGATTGTATACTGTGTACTGAATAAATTTATTTTAAGAGCTGCATAAGCACATCCTTCCCTGCACTCCTCCCGTGCACATATACATCATACATCATTCTTGGCTATCATGCGCACATAGTGTAAATGAACAGGACAATCAGTTATTGCTCAGGCAAAAGCAATGATGGATGACAACTATAGTACTTCCTTTTAAAAAAAAAACGCAAACATCCAGTGGAAGCAGGGCCGGATTAACATGGGGGCTGATGGAGCTGCAGCTCCAGGCCCATGCCCATGGAATAGGCCCATTGCAACTCTTTACTACTCTTCACATGTGGATGTAGGGAAAAAAAACTTGTATGGACTAGCTGACAATGAAATTAGTTACGGTAAAGTTGACTTTGCACAATATGCAAATGATCCTGCTGCTTCAGTTTTTCTAACTCTGGGGCATGTTCCCGCATGCGGCCCGCAACCACAAGTTGATTCAGAGACCCGGTCAGACACCTGGCTCTGAAATAGCGAGACTGGATCCCTGCTTTGTATGATGCTACAGTGCCGGGAGGAAGTGATTACAATTCACTTCCTACTAGCGTACGAAGAAGCCGCGCGGGAGACACAAGCAAGGAGCAAACACTAGACTCCTATCAGACTAAGCCAGGCGCCACAGCAAACACAGGGAATCCACATTCCTGCACCAAAAAGGTATGGTAGCAGGGGGGTGGATAAATTATGTATTGTAAATCGTAAAGACAAATTAGCGGCATTGAAACAAAGTCTGGCATCCCAACAAGTTTTTTTTTTTTTAAGTTACAACTCAAAATTAATCTTTTATAAATGCTAGTTATGTGGTAGCAAATCTGATTGCCAAAAAATCAAAAACATTTAAAGATGGTGAGTTTGTTAAGCAATGTATGGAAAGCGTGGCAGATATTATTTGCCCTGATAAAAAAAAAGATTTTTCAAAAATCAGTTTGTCTCACCAGACTATACGCGAATTGAAGAAATAGGAAAATCTATTGAAAGAGATTTGAAGACTAAAGCTGCAAATTTCAAATTTTATGCTTTGGCGAACTTGACATTTTTATTAGAGATATTGATAACGATATAATGTCACTGAAGAAATGGCTTCTTCGGTGCCATTAAAAGACACAACTAGGGGGCAGAGCCAAGCAGGCAAGCAGCCCAGACATGCCTAGCCAGAGCTCCCATGTCTGGGGAGGAAAAACGGGGTACAACGCCAGACCATAGCCGCTCACAGCTAAGAGACCATAGTACCTCTACTAAGGAGGGACTACCGATTCGAATGGTGCCCCTCACGAGCCTCTGCACAGCCATACCGATGAAACGAGGCTTGCGGCCTACTTGAGACCGAGCCACGGGGAGACGGCCGCTCCCTGGTGCATCAGCGGTAATAGGAGCCGCGACAAGACCGGCGGGGTTTATCCCAGTCACCATCAAGCAGTCTGACTCACCTGACTCTCTCCACTGGACAGCACGCTTCACACACAGACAAGCCATAAAAAGCAAGATGGCGGCAGCTGACCGTGAGAGGGAGACTGAAGAGCGGTACGAAACGTTAGAAAAGCGCCTGGACGACCTGTTCCAGAAATTCTGGCAAAAGCTCGAAAGCAAAGCATAACATCATAAGCAGGTACAGCGGGGAAGCACACCCCCTGGGGACAGATATCACCAAGGGGAGCCCCCTAGGTTAAAACGAGCACAAAGTGACACATGTGGCGGGGCCCGCCACCACTACCATGCATGCCCTGCCAAAGGGCCCCCGAGACCCCCGAAGGCGGACAAATCAGGCCAGCCACGGAGACCCCAACACTCCCTGAGGGCGCGAAAAGCTCCCCACAGACGTGCACAGCACAAGCGGCACACCAACGCCCATGGAGGGGGAAAAGCAAGGCGAATACAAAGTGGAAAGCATCAAGACCACCCGCGACTTCACCTAACCTGCTTACATACTCCAGGGATGGCACCGCAAACAAGCTCCAAATGCAGGCAAGCACCCACAAAAATCTCCCACAGGCTGCACCACCGGGAAACGTGGAACCAGCTCCCTGCTGCACCACTGACAGACCCGCTGGAACCGGCCTCACACATGGGCATCGGCTAAACAGGTTCACCTGGACTACCTACACAGCTCCAAGTATACCACACAAGGACATAAAAGCTCATAATTAACCTACACAGAGCTGACTGGCTGCTGTATTGTATTCTGAAACCTACCTCTCGTTATTTCTTGTTTAGTGCATAAGCTCTCATCTGTTATTTGTAGTCAGACACACAGACCTAGCAAAAGTATAAACATATGTCACCACGCTGGTAGTAACCTTAGCCAGGCAGTTGCTCATTATGCTACTCATTAAATTAATCTTGTCAATCTCGTAACGACTGCCAGAACCTCTTAAAACTCTCATAGTCACACACAGCGTGTGTGACAAGTAAATTGTATGTTTTATATGTGAACAACATCTGTACAACTAAAGTAAAAAATGTGCACATATCCTCGAACACCCTGATGTTACATAGTTACATAGCTGAAAAGAGGCTTGCGTCCAGCAAGTTCAGCCTACCTCACATTTGTTTTTTGCTGTTGATTCCAAAAGAAGGCAAAAAAAAACCAGTTTGAAGCACAATTTTGCAACAAGCTAGGAAAAAAATTCCTTCTTGACCCCAGAATGGCAGTCAGATTTATCCTTGGATCAAACAGTTATTACCCTACATTGAAAGATTATATCCTTGAATATTCTGTTTTTGCAAGTATGCACTTAGTAGCTGTTTGAACATCTGTATGGACTCTGATAAAACCACTACTTCAGGCAGAGAATTCCACATCCTGATTGTTCTTACAGTAAAAAAACCTTTCCTTTGCCTTAGACGAAATCTTCTTTCTTCCAGTCTAAACGCTTGGCCTTGTGTCCTAAGTAAAGTCCGGTTTGTGAATAGATTTCCACACAATGGTTTGTATTGGCCCCGAATATATTTGCATAATGTTATTATATCCCCTCTCAGGCGACGTTTTTCTAAACTAAATAGGTTTAAATTTGTTAACCTTTCTTCATAGCTGATATGTTCCATTCCTTTTATTAATTTTGTAGCCCGCCTCTGCACTTTTTCTAGTGCCATAATATCCTTCTTTAGAACAGGTGCCCAAAATTGCACAGCATATTCAATATGGGGTCTTACCAGTGATTTATAAAGAGGCAAAATGATATTCTCGTCCCAAGAATGAATGCCCTTTTTCATACATGACAATACCTTACTGGCCTTGGCCACTGCTGATTGACATTGCACATTGTTGCATTGTTTGTTGTCTATAACAATTCCCAAGTCCTTTTTGTATGTTGTTATCCCTAATTCGCTTCCATTAAGGGTATACGTTGCTTGTGTATTCTTTACGCCGAAGTGCATAACTTTGCATTTTTCAACATTAAATTTCATCTGCCATTTGAGTGCCCAGTCCCCCAGTCTATCTAAATCCCTCTGCAGCAAAGTAACATCTTGCTCACATTGTATTATTTTACAAAGTTTTGTGTCATCTGCAAACACTGAAACATGACTTTCAATGCTGTCTTCTAGATCATTTATAAACATGTTAAATAGAAGGGGTCGCAGAACAGACCCCTGAGGGACACCACTTGCCACCTCTGTCCAGCTTGAAGATTTACCATTAATGACAACTCTTTGTACTCTGTTTTTAAGCCAATGTTCTACCCAAGAACAAGCATTTTCATCTAGACCAATTTCCTTGAGTTTGAACACTAATCTAGTGTGTGGAACTGTATCAAATGCCTTGTCAAAATCCAAATAGATCATATCCACGGCAACACCCTGATCTATACTTCTACTTACTTCGTAGAACGCAATCAAGTTAGTTTGACATGACCTGTGCTTCATAAAACCGTGCTGATTTTTGCTGATAACCATGTTCTTCTCAAGGAATTCTTGAATATTATCCCTTAATAACCTTTCAAATATTTTACCAGCCACAGAAGTTAAGCTACAAACAAACAATGGGTGTGTACACAAACCACAGTGCAAAAAAAGTGATCAGTTAGTAATAAGCAGAAATAAACCTCCCTGGCCGGGTGGAATTCCCCAAAGACTTCCTCTTGTCTTCAACAGTATAAACACAAAATAGGGGGAAAATCTGCTAAACCAAATAACAAGAACCATACATAGAGTAATACTGTATTTTTAAGTAAACCAAATGTTAAATTCACAAGTGGCCACTCACACTCTTGTAGTAATTAGAAGACTTTTAAAAAGGATTTTTCTTTTTCAGCATATATGCCCTTTTGAATTGAAATCTTCCATCTCTATTGGTATCTCTTGAAATAGTTGAAAGGTGTGTGTGCTCAAGAGAGAAATATAACAAAATTGTAGTGCACATTCAGAAACAGAATAAAAAAGTATTTAATAACTTACATCAAGGTATAAAACAATTCTCACTGTCACCACTAGGGGTCCTACGCGTTTTGTCCGTATATAGCAGTGACCAGAAAACAATCAATAGTACAAAACCCTCCCCTCCTCCACTCTTTATACCTCCCGCCAATGTCCATATAATCTTCTATCTCCTTCAGGTGTTTCGATTTTCGGTCTGGCATTCATGACGTCATTCTATGCGACTTTCATATGTTCATGCGTTCCACCGTGCGTTCCATTGCCGAAACCGGAAGTTCGCCGTAATCAGTCTGTTCTTTAATGTTCCACTCGGGAACAAGAATAATCAGTATATGTGAACCGGGGGTAGAGAAGAGAGGGGGAATGTTATAGTTAAATGGTCACAAATGACACTATTCTATAAAAGAATGGCACTACTTCATACTGCACAATTAATAACTATACAAATGAATAAAACATATAAATATATGCTCATAATAATGAAATAAAAATTAAAAAATAAAAATAAAAAATAAAAAACACACATAAATAAAATGAAAAAAAATATAATAATACTAATAATTAAACAAAAATATATATACAATATAAAGATGAAAATCAAAATAAATATAAATAAAAATAAAATGAAAATTAAAATTAAAATAAAGTAAAAATAAAAATAAAAATAAAAAATTAAAATAAATATGAAAAAGAAATAAAATAAAAATAAATATAAAAATAGAAATAAAAATAAAATTAAAATTAAAAAAAATTAAATAAAAATAAATAATAATAATAACAATAAAAATATGAAAAATATATATAAAAAATATATATATTTTAAAGCATATATAAAAATATGTATATACTATAATCAATACAATTAGCATTTCTTAACTAGAGCACACACAGTTTTAAGGTGAGAAAACGTGACATCCCAATTTATGTTGTATTTTTTCTTTCTTTCTTTATTTCTATATAAAGAAAGAGAGCAAAACATCTGTGTAACTATCAATCAATTAGAAGAAAAAATAGCTGAAACAAAGAATAATAAAATGAAGAGAGATAGAAAGGATAAAATATAAAGCACCTTTTCCTCAGCAAATATAATTAAAAATAAACACACACACAACACTTATTACACCAAAAAAAATACAAGAAATTTTAATGATACGTATGGAAACCAATTTAATAGAAACGCTGTTTCTCCCACTTATAAAAAACAATTTCCAAATGATCACTTTAGACATTCAACTTTTGATAGAAATAAACACTTTTCTTCAATTAATAGAAAAAATACCCCTCCCCAAGTAGATTTACACAGTTCACAAAGAAAACACCCAGTTCTTTTAGACAAAGAGAAAGAGAGGAGTCTATCTCTCCAAATTACTATTCACCCAAGAAATCCTATGCACAGGTAGCCAGTACCAGCCAAAGAAACCAAAGAGAAAGAGATGATCTTTTTTTAGGAAGGGAGCCCAATATCAAAGAAGGGAGAATTACCCAATTTTTCAAACCTCGACACAATACCAAAGAAATCTCACGAGAAAATCAAATAACGCCACCAAAAAGAAAGAGGTCAGAGGAAGATCCTCGGAGAGAGGACTTTATGAGAAAAAGGAATTAGAAAGACAGTATGGAGTATATAATTTAACTAATATTGAATTATCGATAGGTGACTTAAAAGTGCTCAATAAGGACTTGAAATTTGCTCCTAACCAAAAAATTTTTGTTAATCAGATTTTTATTAGCAATTGGGTATGATAGATTTTAGGGCTCGCAGGCCCACATCAGTCAAACAGTGAAGGTAGCAATTTTGAAGTATAACATATACATGTACATATGCAGGGATGTTCCCTGTTCCAATATACAACCAATGATAGGGTACAATTATGTTTATTTTCTAAAGCGTGAATTGCAAAATATTATCATCACAGTATATCCTGGAGTTAGGGGCTTCCAGATAAAGCTAGAGCTACATGGGTATGATAGCGTTCATATGTACTCTAAGGATGCGGTTCCTTGATTGGAATTAATCCAGAGTAGTTGTCGATGAATGTATGTTGTGTGTTTCGGTGTGAAGGATAGTATCCTAACTAGTGGTCATGTGTAGGAGTGTGTGGTGTCTGTCTGATACGAGATCCACAATGCAGGGATATGGAGAGTGGTGAGAAGAGATCCGTACGTACCCAGGGCTTAGTGTAGTCAGTTTACCCCCTTTTAATCCATCTACAACCGACAGTGACCCTGTCCATATGGCAATCGAGTTGTTTCTGTTGAAATGGGCTTGTTTGGTCGGTTGTGCAAGGTTTGCGTCCTTTTCCCGTGGGTTAGAACCCATCCGAGTTGGGTGCGGTAGCTATTAACCTAGTTGAGGTTCTTGTTAGTTATCATGTTGTCGTATTGCAGTATGTCAAAGTGAGGTCAACCGTGAGGGCCCTTGCTTGGGTCTGTGCAGGTGCGGAGTATGTGTTTTCTAGGGTTCATCAGGAGAGGTATAGTGTCGTGGTGTATGTGTGTGTTGCTATGTCTCGGGGCTGCCGCACACGTCCGTTAATCTGATTGTCAGCGTTGTCTTATAGAGGTGGTATGCGTGCCATGTCCAGATGTGCTCAATATGCCCCCCCTTGTGGTTCTGTGGGGATATGGGCCATGCCCTAAGATGTCCCCCCTTGACCTATGGAGTTACTGCGGGTCAGGGTTATCCGTCGTATCGGTTGAGATCTCGTGTTATTGAAGTGGCGGGGATGTGTTTATCCCCCAAATGTTGTGGATGGAGTGTTAGGTGTATCGATTGAATCTGCGATCGCCAGGTGATCGGTACAGAGTCTGCTTCATGTCGCACGGGTCTAGTGAGCTCCATATCGTCTCCCTGCCCTAGACCCCCCCCGGACCTCCCTAAGGTTGTGAGCGGTATGTATACCACGGTGCCCAGGCTTCAGCGTGTTGAGCTTCCCTGCCCGTCATCTCCGCCTTCAGAGCTTCCGCTGCCCTGATATCCTCAACCCGGTGGATTCATTCCTCCCTTGTCGGGATGTCTGGTTTCTTCCAGTATACCGGTATGAGCGATTTGGCCGCATTCAATAGGTGGCGCATGATAGATTTTTTGTATGTGGATAGTGGTCGTGTGGATATGTGTAGCAAGGCTAGTTCCTCTGACCATTCAAGGTCATCTCCCAGGATTAGTTGAATGTCTGATTTGATCCGGTCCCAGTATGGGGCAATGTGTTTACATTCCCACCATATGTGGTGCATGTTCCCCCTATCCTCCTGGCATCTCCAACACGTTGGTGGCGTAGTGGGGAAGATCCTATGTAACAGTATAGGTGTTCGATACCACATGGAAAGCAACTTGTACCGTGTTTCTCCGAAAATAAGACCGGGTCTTATATTAATTTTAGTCACAAAAAACACACTAGGGCTTATTTTCAGGGTAGGTCTTATTTATTTACGTTACCAGTATGTACAGCTCTTTCTCTTTGCACTCATCTTGTTTGGGGATCAAAATACCATACTGTCTAATTAATCCACCCCCCCTTTAATAAATCCACCCCCTCTAATTAATCCACCCCTTTTAATTAATCCACCCCCCTCTAATTAATCCAGCCCACCCTTTAATTAATTCACCACCCCTTTAATTAATTCACCCCCTCTAATTAATCCAGCCCACCCTTTAATTAATTCACCACCCCTTTAATTAATTCACCCCCCTCTAATTAATCCAGCCCACCCTTTAATTAATTCACCACCCCTTTAATTAATTCACCCCCTCTAATTAATCCAGCCCACCCTTTAATTAATTCACCCCCCTTTAATTAATTCACCCCCCTCTAATTAATCCAGCCCACCCTTTAATTAATTCACCCCCCCTTTAATTAATTCACCCCCCTCTAATTAATCCAGCCCACCCTTTAATTAATTCACCACCCCTTTAATTAATTCACCCCCTCTAATTAATCCAGCCCACCCTTTAATTAATTCACCAACCCCTTTAATTAATTCACCCCCTCTAATTAATCCAGCCCACCCTTTAATTAATTCACCCCCCCTTTAATTATTCACCCCCTCTAATTAATCCAGTCCACCCTTTAATGAATTCACCCCCCTCTAATTAATCCAGCCCACCCTTTAATTAATTCACCACCCCTTTAATTAATTCACCCCCTCTAATTAATCCAGTCCACCCTTTAATTAATTCACCCCACTCTAATTAATCCAGCCCACCCTTTAATTAATTCACCACCCCTTTAATTAATTCACCCCCCTCTAATTAATCCAGCCCACCCTTTAATTAATTCACCACCCCTTTAATTAATTCACCCCCCGCCCCCTTTAATTAATTCAGTCCCAGACATAAAATATCTACCGGTACTCACATTTCAAAGATTCCTTGCCGAGTCCGACCACTGGGTGCCTCACCGCCCGGAAATGGATCCTTCCGCTGAAGATCCGTGAAGGCAGACTGACGGCACTGCGAAATGTCGTCATCACGTTGCGCGATGCCACGGCCCGCAACGCTCCTCCTACAGTAGAAGAAGGAAGTCTCGCCGCAAAGGTGCAATGTCTAGGTCTTATTTTCGGGGTAGGGCTTATATTGCAGCCCACCCCGAAAATCCGACTAGGGCTTATTTTCGGGGTAGGGTTTATTTTTGGGGAAACAGGGTAGTTCATCTCTTGATAGTGAGAGCTGGAGGAGCTTTTGTGCTGCCATATCAAGGCCTTGTCCTATTGTGCTGGTGTGAAGGACTTAGCCATGGCTCGTTCCCAGTGTCGTTTGAAGAGGTTGTTTTCCGAGGTGGGGCTGGTCAGTATGTATTGGTAGAGGTTCGAGATTGCTTTCCCTAATGACGTGCCCTTGGAGCAGAGTTGTTCGTACCATGTGAGGTCTCTTCGCAGCTTTTCTTTGTGCGGGAGTGAGTTGAAGTAATGTTTCAGTTGCATGTATCGAAAAACCGCCACGTGTGAGCGCGGTCGTGATTCCAATAGCGCATCCAGAGTCTGCAGGGCGCCATCCCGAATGACCTTATGTATTGGGATGTATTCTGCTTCACCTAAGAATGACCAGGCGTCTGGCGGTAGACCGCCTCCTATACTGGGGTTATGAGCAATCGGCAGCAATGGGCAGGGAGTTGGGGAGATTTGCGGTGTTTCCCTGAGTTGTTCCCATGTGAGGAGTGTTTGTGTAACTGGGTCATCGTCTCCTCTTCTGTTGCCTCTCGTTGCCCGTCTTTTCCAGATTGCCGCCTTCAGTTTTGCACTGTCTCCTTCTTGGTCTAGGATCACCCATTGTTTGGTCGTCTCTAATTCGTGCCACTCCAAAATCCGTTGCAGCGTCGCTGCTTGGTGGTATTTTTTAAAATCGGGTAGGGCTAAACCCCCCTATGTCTGGGCATGCACAGTATTTCATGGCGTATCCTGGATCTTTCTCCCCTCCATACATACCTGATTACTTCTGATTTCAGAGTCGAGAAGAATTTTGCCGGCGGTGCCATCGGTATAGTCTGGAATAAGTATAGTGCTCTCGGGAGAACGTTCATTTTAAGGACCGCTATCCGGCCGTGCCATGTGATATGTGGATAGGACCATCTTTTCAGGTCGGATTCAATGCCGTGCAGTAGGGTCGTGAAGTTGCGTTGGTATATGTCCTGTGGGTTTGTGGTGATCCATATGCCGAGGTATTTCATTGCTCCCGTACACCATCGAAATGGGAAGAGTGGGCCGAGGGATACGTAGTCCGCTATGGGTATGGTGAGATTTAGTGCCTCACATTTTGCTAGATTGAGTTTAAACCCAGAGATTCGGCCGAATCTATCCATCTCAGAGAGTATACATGGCAGTGTGATCCGAGGCTGGGAGACAAAGAATAAAAGGTCGTCCGCATAAGCAGCCACCTTATGTTCCGTGTCCTGCCAGGTGTAACCGTGTATGTCCTGACGGTCCCGAATCGCTTGTAGAAGTGGCTCCAGAGAGAGTGCGAAAAGAAGCGGAGATAAGGGGCAGCCCTGCCTGGTTCCATTCGCAATTCCAAAACTCGTGGTCAGCGCTCCATTGACGCGTACCGTCGCCCTTGGTGTGCTGTATAGTGCAGTAATCCACGCCATGGTTCTCTGGCCAAGACCCATAAACCGGAGGGTTTGGAACATGTATTCCCAGTTGACCCGGTCGAATGCCTTTTCGGCGTCTGTGGACAGTAGTAGGAGTTGTTTCCGAAACTTCCGTGCATGATGTTGTATATAAAATAGGCGTAATGTGCTGTCTCGTGCCTCTCGACCTGGGATAAATCCAGTCTGATCCACGTGGACAAGGTTTGGTAACGTCCTTTGAAGTCTAGTTGCCAATACTTTCGTCAGGAGTTTCGTGTCCACATTCAGCAGAGAGATCGGGCGATAGCTGCCACATTGTTCCGGGTCCTTCCCGGGTTTGAGCAAGACCTCGATTGTTGCCGTCAGGGACTCCGTGCCAAAGTGTCCCCCCTCCGCGACTTTGTTTACTGCTTTCGTTAGCCATGGTAGGAGTGTCGTAGCAAAGTGTTTATAGTACCCTGTGGAGAACCCATCTGGTCCAGGGGCTCGTCCAGTTTTCGTGCCCTTCAACGCTGCGGCTAAGTCCTCCGTGCTAATCGATTCGTCAAGCATATCTGCTGTCTCAGGGTTCATCCGTTTCCGCACATTGTCTTGCAGGTATGTTTGTATGAGTGATGATGATTCCCGTCTATGTGCTGTGTCCTCTGGTGGGTAGAGGTTATAGAGGGAATTGTAATATTCCCGGAATTCACCTGCTATTTCTTCAGGATATGGTGATATACTGCCCGTTGATAAGCGAAGTTTCCTCACTTGAGTGCGTGGTGTGTCTCCTTTCAAGAGGCGGGCGAGGAATTTCCCACCTTTATTTGCATGGGTGTAAAAGAAGGACCTCGATCTTTGGAGTGAGCGGTGGTGTCTTTGCGTGAGTAGGGTCTGCAAAGTTCGTCTGGCTTCCATCAGTTCACCATATGTTGAGGTTAGTTGGGAACGTTTGTGTTGGGATTCCAGGCGTGTGATGGATTTATACGTGTCTGCCATCGCCCGGGTGGACTCCTTCCTTTTGCGAGATGCAATGCCGATGAGGGTACCTCGTATAACACTCTTATGTGCTTCCCACACCGACACCGGAGATATCTCATCTGTTCCGTTCTCAGCAAAGTAGTTTTCCAGTGCATGCGAGATCTCCCCTCTTACCCCAGGGTCCTGGAGCAGGGATTCATTCAGGCGCCACGTCCATGTTGCGGGCTTAAACAGCGGGGATTCCAATTCGACCCGAACTGAGCCGTGGTCCGACCAGGTGGCCGGTTCTATAGAGGCTGTGCGCAAACGAGAGAGCCCCTCTTGCTTGATGAACACGTAATCTATGCGGGAATAACGTTTGTGGATCACCGAGTAATGTGTGTAGTCCTTGATAGAGGGGTGAAGCGTCCTCCAGCAGTCCACCAATGCTAGTTCACCTAGCGTTTTGTGAATGGACCTAATGCGAGATTGTGAGAGGCAACTATGGCCAGTGGATGAGTCCATGAGAGGATCTAATGGAACATTAAAGTCTCCCCCCACTATCAGTGCTCCCTCCGAGAATCCATGCAGTTTGTGTAGTGTCCCGCGAAGAAATTGTGCTTGCTTTGAATTGGGAACGTATATGGTCGCGAGAGTGTACATTCTGTCGGCTATCGTTCCTTTCAGGAAAAGGAAGCGCCCTTGATCGTCAGCCAATCTGTCCAGTTCTTGGAAATCTAGGTTTGCAGCAAGCAGTATCGCAACCCCCGCCCGACGAGCGGTCGGATGATTGTTGCAGTAGTGTAATGGGTGATGAGCGCTTCGGAGTTTTGGAACAGCGTTCTCCCGAAAGTGAGTTTCTTGTAGCATCGCTATCGATATGTGTTTCTGTCGCAGGATTCTTAGTAGGTGAGAGCGGCGTTCCGGTATATTCAAGCCTCTGCAGTTGAGGGTCATGACGGACAGGGGAGCGCGATTATACGCCATGACTTCCTCTGCGGCCGTATGCTCCGGCTCCCAGGGGGGGTATCCAGGCGGGGTGGGTGGCCATGGAGACAATGCCAACTAGTGTGGGCGTACGCGTGACTATGAGGTGTAGTGTCCTATGCGTCCGTTTCAGTGCTAGTTATGGGTGGGTATGCAAGCGTCCCGTGAGCTATGGGTCTCGTTCAGGAGGTGTCCCCCCTCGTTATCTGTGTCAGGCCGGAACGTGTGCCGCAGCCGCGAGGGTTGGTGTAAATGTGGGTGAGTGCGTGTGGGTGTATTTAAGGGTAGTATGCGATTGGTATCGGTAGTAGGGGACTGTTGATTGTGTGAGTAAAAAATAGAGTGGAATATATATAATAAAATAAGGGTGATCCGAGTGGGTCCCTCCTTTGGGGTATGTCCCCAGCGGGGTAAAAGGTGGGTGTAACCCCGAAATCTCCTAAAAGAGGAGAGTCACTTGCGTCTCAATAGGAGTGGCCAGGTGTCACCCCGATAACCAGATCGGTGGGTGAACGAGCCTGTGGCTCCCTTGAGGATTCTGCGCAAGTGAGAGTATAGAGCAGTGGTCGAGGTCCAAGCCCGGGTAGGCGTGGTCTGTGTGTCGTGGGTAAGTCGGGTTCCCGTCTATCTCGTTCCAACCAGTGCCCAGCCCAAGTGTGTATAGTCGTGGGAGGAGCAAACAATCAGGGGACCAAACAGAAATATAGCAGGTTAAACATTGTGTTCGTAAACAATAACAGTATGAGTATCAACAACAATTGGCGATGTCATTTATCCACCTTCCCCCCCAGCACTCCCCGCCAGGAAGTCTAACCACCCGCTCCGCCCCGGGGCAAGCCCCCCATAACGATTGTGTCTCCCACTCATCTTCCAAGATGTGTCATGAGAGATATAACGATCCCAAATCTGCCCGGGCACCTAGTGTCTGATCGATGAGGATACCTAGCCATAGTGTCTCTGTCCTTCCTGTTGTGTGCTATGTTCGGGGTGAGGTATGGTAAATCCCAGGGCATCTTCCCCATGGTTCCTACTGAAAGTAGTTAACTCCCTAAAGTTCCCGTGGAGGTGTTCCATTTGGCTGGCCCCCTCTAGCCCTCATGTTCCCGGTAATTACTCACACACCCATCTGTCCCTCTGGTACAGTCTACCTATTCAGGAGACATAGCCAAAGTATCAGCAATATTTAGCATAATAAATAACAGAGGAGAAAAAGCAATTAAGCGGCACAACTTCAAGTAAAGATACTTAGCAGGTGCGGATAGTTCTGGGTTCGCTGTTAATTTCGTGCATGTTGGTGATGTCACAGGTAATTCCATTCACGGCACTAATCCATGCATAGTCAAGCCAAAGCAGCCGTGGTCGTGTCAGCGCAGGAACAGAGTATGCCCAGAGCTCCCCCCTAATCACCCCACCACCCCAATGTCACATCAACGGGCCCCCGAGAACGCTCCTGGAGGGTCATGAGACCGTGAGGGCAAGGAGAGGCACAACGGGGTCATTATTATAAGTGCACAAGAGGGAGGTCAGTCCAGGTTGTAACGTTGCCAGGTGTGCACTCAGTCTCGGGTAGTCGCTATTCCCGTCAGGTGGAGTTATGTTCGTGCATATTGTGGGGTAGGATCAGTCCCTACTCTTGCAGTGTTTCCCAGG